CAATAGCTAATTGTGCTCAGAGCTGGGCAAGCTACTTGGAAAAAGTAGCTAGCTACAAGCTACAAGCTACTTTATATTGTAAGTAGCTAAGTTACTCAGTAGCTTAACTACCTCTTTGAAAAAGTAGCTAAGCTATTAGTAACTTAACTACATTTTGAATTAGTGAAAGCTACTATTTAAGCTACTTTTATCAATGTACATGCCTTACCTAATTTAATTTCATAATATCATCATACGAAAATAACATATTAACACACCAGCGTCGACGCGCGCTTATAAGCGCCAAAAATGAATGCATGTTTTCAAATCGGCTAGTACACAGTAACAAACAGGTAGAGTAACTGCTTTTTACTGTGTTCTAGCCGATTTAAAAACATGCATTAATTTTACGCGCTTATAAGTGCGAGTCAGCGCTGGTTGCCGGTAAGCGGAAACCTGCTTGCACTGTGTTTGTACACTATATGGGCCAAAATGTCATCTAATAGTTAAACTGTCAAACCCATGTTATAATCTTTTCCGGTAGTTAACCAAAATTCAACTAATTGGAGTTTCCTCCCCTAATCAATTCAGAAAATGAAAAAATGAAAAGTCCTGAAAAATTGAACCTGGAAAACCAGGTACACACGATGAAGTGTTACAGTTTTTTACCGTCTGTTCCTAAAATTAGTTTACGTTTAGAAAATAAACATTAAATACAGCTTCTTGAGCTTTGTTACCTTTGAGTGAGGTTTTGAAGTGTTTTGCAGCAGATCAGTTCCTTTTTTTTAGGAGCTGCAGCAATACGAAGTTTTTGGCTTGAAGATGCCGTTGCTTGTATTAGACCTAATTTTTCGGTTGAAGGACATTAAACAGATTACCCATCACGATCCTCAAAGATGCGCTTAACACCAATGCTGTGATGGTTTTTTTTTTATAGAATTCTTTTGTTTTCTTTTAACCGAAAATTATTCAACCAGTCATTAAAGGTAAATATAAACACAGCCGATCAGATGTTGTGGTTGTGGTCATATTATGTACCTCGGTTCTCTTCTTATTTTGGGTTTCGGTAATCGGTACTGAGAGTGCACACCGGTCGCCCTAAATATTCTAATTAGTGCATCGAGTAAGGCACAGTTCCGAACTTGATTTATTGCGAACCTGATGGGTTCCCATCTGGGACATTTTTGATATTATTGTTTTTTTGGGTTGAAATTTAACTATTTAACTAATTTTCTTCACGGGCTCTTTCTTTTTGAAGGATTTGCTTAGCGGCGAAAGCTGTATATCCTCGTGGCATTTTGCCGATTTTAAAAGAGGCATCTTGGAAATTCTGTCCCACTAAGTCTACAAGTTCTGATTATTAGCAGTGATCCTGCTCATTTATTTGAGAATTAACAGAAACATTTCCAAACCCGTTTTTAAATTCTCTCATAAAGGGCCATACAACATCTAGGGTAAGTTGTACCACATTTTAATACTTGTCAGAACCCATCACAGATAATTGTCTTCTTAGGCCCTTACCTTATTGCTACCTACCTACCTTACTATTTCGGTACCTACCAAACCGCCAGTCATCAAGCCCATGTTTTTGGTCGACTTTGGCCCTATTTTCCTAGAAATGGAAATGATGGAACCCGGACCATGCGGTCGAATTATTCATCTACCCGATAAGCCTTGACCAGCAGGCTCTTGAATCAACGGAATGTGCAAGCTACTGACTTAAATCACCAAGAATTACTAATGCCAGGTTAGTCCGTTCCATAATGGATATTTTTGGGATTTTATCAATAGTAATATAACTAGTGCAATGGAAATTATTGATAATTTTTGGGAAATTTGCCCAAATGCATTTTTAGTTAAAAAAGAGCACAAGTGCACGGGTGCCTTTTTCAGTTAAAAACGCATGAGTGCAAATTTGTCGAAAATTATAAATATATTTCCATTGCACGAGTTGTATTTAATGAGAGAATTTCATAAATCAAAAATTTTAATTTTTTGTCAAAAAATGTCAAAACACCAGTTTTCGCACCAGTTAGTATGCAATTATCTGATAATTTGCACTAGTGCAAATTATCGCGTAATTACAATCTGATTGGTTCAAATCAACAATCAAAACATGTCAATTTATTGTTGGAATACCAGTTTTGACAGATGTATGAAATTCTCAATTTTAATCATATTTTAATTTACATTTCATGACATATTGAAATGTCATTTTTATCAGCCAGTCATTAATCATTAACAGGCCCTGCGATCTCTTATTGCCAGTAATAAACCACATAATAACTCTTTTCCGTTTTTCTAGATGTCGCTGACAACAACAGAATTGTAAAATACCAGCACATCAAGAACACGTCCGATGTCGATAACATTGACATGAGATTGACATGTCAGCATATGACAATATGCCAAAATATTCATTTGATCATAACTAAAAATTCATAATGTTTTCCGTTCGCCGGTCTTGTATTTCGTCTTTCTTTGTGTTGTCAAATGTTTCTAAGTGATTTTAAAGTGGTTTTGTGTGTTTCACGAAGACCTTCAAACTGTATAGATTGGAAGATCTATTTTTATCTTTGTTGATTAGATTAATGACAGATTCAATTAAACATCAATCAGAACTTTGAATAAATATGTTAAGGATATCCTTAACCATCGATAAAGGAACTGTCTTTTGGTCTAATTAACAAAACATCAATTAATTTAAGCAAACATTAATGTTCCAAAGTCTAGAATAAACAAATTTGAACAGACCGACTGTAATGCGAACAGAGCGCCATCTATCATAAAAATGCCTTGAAAACCCAATGTAAAGTAGGTGTCTGCAGCGTCCATGAAAAACCAGTAAATAGTGAGTTTCCAATATGGTAGATGGCGCTGGCTTGGCTCAATTTTGTTGACAACAAAATTTACACTGAGATTCCATTCTCGACAGTTTATATAGTATTTATCTCTGATCATTAATGAAATGCTTATAATTTAAATTACTGTGAACCGAAGATATGCGCATATACTAGGGCCCCTTTTTACTGTGATTATCATTTAAATATTAATTCATTGAACATTTAACGATTCACCTGATTCGTGTATAATTGGGATTTAAATGACTAGGCACATTTTACAGTAAGCTTGAAAGCCATGCACATTCATGCTTTTCCAGTTGATTTTCTTTTGTAAACTTTTCTGGGGCTTGGTTCTAAAAGGGCCAATGTCAATTCCCTGTGATTTTGGTTTAAGTGCATTCTCAAACTACATTTAAAGAGAACTATCATCAGTAAAAAGGGCCAATGTCTGCTTAGGGTGTCAAACACGTTTCAAAAGTACGTAGGGCCAATGTTCGAATTCAAATAACATTTTATTTTACAGATAAAAAGGCCAATGTAGACATAGGCCCAAGAACCAGTGGAACATCACTACATCACTATCACTAAATAGTATAAAACAAAGTCGCTTTCTCTGTCCCTATATCCCTATGTCCCTATGTATGCTTAAATCTTTAAAACTACGCAACGGATTTTGATGCGGTTTTTTTTAATAGATAGAGTGATTGAAGAGGAAGGTTTATATGTATAATAACATCCATTAAATAGTGGAGAAATGCTGTTATTTTTTAGGTTTCCAATGTGATCTCGTAAATAATTACATTTCTTCCGCTTACATTGCAAACGCAGGAAGCGATTCTAACCAATACAGCATTAATCCTTATCCAATTAAATATCTCAAATACATTGTTGAATCTGTAATATAGATATTAATTGTTGTAAAAATAAAATAAATAGGTAAAAATGTAAAAAGTAAATATGTAGTGTATGAATATGCCATAAAAATTTGGTGCATTAATTTCGGAACACCCTGTATTTTTTATACCCGTCCGAAGCCGGAGCGGGCTGCTAGTAATTTATAAAAAGGTCTAAGTCAACATTGGCACTTTTTTTGTTTATCATCTACATATTAGTGCGACATTGGCCCCCACCTTCCAAGAAATCTTCTCGGCGAGTAATTACGACGTTTTCAGTTTCTTTTGACATTCTTTGCTAGCCTGTGTATCACAGTTGCGTATTGTTTGAGACAGTATGTCCTCCCGTGGTAATAGGATATTGAGTTTGTGTGCAGCTTCAATAAACAAAAAAATAACGAGAATCAAGGTAAGTTGTTTGAATTTAGCCATTAAAATTAAGTTAAGGTAATGTGTGAAAAGTAGACGATTTATTGTTGAATTTCAATTACCTACCAGCGGTATACCTACCAAACTTCTAAGTAAAAATGTTTTTTTTTTGTCTTCTATCACAACAAGCCTATATTGGAATGCCGATTTTACTTCGCACAGAAATTCCATTTGCTGATGTTACTAACCGTCCTATTTCTTGCTTGCCTGGTAGCAGTAAATCAGGAAAGTCATAGTATTCTATGGTTATCCAAAATCAAAATGGGTAACAAGACCTCATTATTATTATTTTTTGGTAGAAAGTAATGTTTTTGGAATGGTCAATCCTCGGGTGAATTAAGATTCTAGAGAAATCACCAAGAAACATGGAAATGAACAACGGGGAGCACCTGGATTATTGAATATTTCATATGACGAAAATGGCCACGATAATATTGATAATTTTGAAGATGGATCTAGTCATGATGGGAACAGTAGTTCGAATTCAGATGAAGAACCCTATTAGTCCGGAGGTTAGCAGGTTCAACCTTGCAAATCGTGATACCGCTATGAAACTTTGCACGAAAGTTGTCCACATCCATACCTTCGATTTGAGATATGGAGCCACTTGGGAGCCCCCGGTGGGGCCCCGTCAGATGGGGTTGCCTATCTCCCATGGGCAAAACACCAATTTTAACGAATGTGACCCGTTTTCGATACGGTTTTTTGCGTTCGGGCCGAATTTTGATACTGCCATGGATGTACACTGTAGTTGACATCCATATAATGTCATTGGGTCTGGTTGCCTGCCTTCCCAGGGGCAGGAAATATTCAAGAAACGTAGCTACGGGCTGTGGATTGTGTGAAACCGCTCTTCTCAGTCTTCTGTCATAGTCCAGTCTATATCTCTTTTAAAAGCAATGAGAATATCTTGTCCACTTCTTCCAGAAGACTCTAGATCCGGACATTCCATTAAAATGCGTTCCCTTAATCTAGTTGAGTGGACATCACAGGATGCGCCCAGCTGCTCTATTTCAGACGCATAAATGCGCGTGAGCTCAGATATTTTAAAGGCAGGGGGCTGTGTCGACTCCGCCCTCACTTCATTCATATGACTTGTCAGTCGAGCCAGAACGACCCCATGAGCCATACCGTTACTTTCAGTCTTGTTCGACTTTGGAGGCCTACAGCGATTTACGTAATTTGTATAGCACTTTTTATGATAGTTCATTAATCTCAACCCACAAAGCCCTTGAGACATAGTAAGTATTTTAGAATCTCTTAATTCTTTGGCACAGTTTATAATAACTTTCTCTCCCTCGTCCATGACGCGACTCAGTGGCCAAAATTTGGAGCTTCCAAGTCCACAAAAAAAACAAGTGTCCTTTTCGTAAGGACTTAAAGACAATGTCTTGCGTGTCTTAAGTGGTGAAGTAGGTGGCACATTTTCTTGACCAAGTTTTCTTTTATCAGTAGCCCTTTCCAACTTGGTTTTATTGTACTTCAAAGCACACGGTTTGTGATAGACTGCAGAGTTAGCCCGTAGATTTTTTTCTAATCCTTTAAGCACGGCTAAGTTAACTTCTTTAGGTAGACATCCAAGAGACGCAAAGCTCTCTAAATTACTTGCAAGACTCGTGAACGCATCATTAGCCACTCTTTTACTATTTGATGGTTTCACAACCTCCTCCTTTGTGTGCTCCTGACAAATAAAACATTTGTCCCAATCAACGGAGATCGGCAGTTTTCGTGGCGACTCCAAAGAATCATTCAAATTGATTAATTTAAATACTGACTCCATGTCTGCACCTGAGGTGAGATACAAAGTAAAGAGAATCACTATATGGGACACTCAACAAATGCCCCATTAAAGCAAAAAAAAAAAAACAGACAGCAAGTAACATGACAAACAATCGCGAACTACCTAACCTAATTCTGCTCAACTACTCAATTAAACTGTTTAAAAACAATGACGACTGAAAATCAAACTCACCACAGAACACGGATCCACTCCACAGTCACTTCGTCCAATGTCAACGCATTACAAAGCACTGAACACACTTATTTTAACGCATATTACATCAAAACAAATCCATGCGCGACAGGTTTCTACAGGATCGGCAACAATGCTGCGACGGACAGGGGAATACCTCCCCACCCTCCGCCGCCCACCACGCAGCGCCCGGCGGCGGGTGTGCGTAGCAGGCGGTGAGTAGTCAGGCAGGGCGCGCACCAAAAGGAAGTGACGTCACCTGGTGTGTGTGTGTGTGTGTGTGTGTGTGTGTGTGTGTGTGTGTGTGTGTGCGCGCGTGTGTGTGGGTGCGTCCTTGTGTGCGTGTGCGTCGGGAGCGGCTTCACGCATTCCACAGCCCGTAGCTACGTTTCTTGAATATTTCCTGCCCCTGGGAAGGTAGGCAACCAGACCCAATGACATTATATGGATGTCAACTACAGTGCACATCCATGGCAGTATCAAAATTCGGCCCGAACGCATCGAAAACGGGCCACATTCGTTAAAATTGGTATTTTGCCCCTGGGAGATAGGCAACCCCCACTGACGGGGCCCCACCGGGGGCTCCCAAGTGGCTCCATATCTCAAATCGAAGGTATGGGTGTGGACAACATTCGTGCAAAGTTTCATAGCGGTATCACGATTTGCAAGGTGGAGGTCATATTCTGCTGTTAACCTCCGGACTATATGGCATAGATGTTACGGCCGACGTTCCAAATAATATTCATGCTAATCGCACGTTTTTTTTTCATTAAAATTACGTCTTTTTAAGCTCCATTTTTGCTTAATTGTTTCATTCAATTTGCATTATTTTCAACGGCATTAGTGTGCACTGAGTGTATTCGTCTCTTTTTTTACTAGTTTGTATAAAAAAGAGATAGAAATACATTTTTTCTGAATTGGTTTTAGCAAAGGATTAGTTAAAATTCACAAAATTATTAGGTTTTGGAAGAAAAATTTAAAACGTAGCAACCCTAGTCGAAAAATGTAGTAACCCTAACGCAATTTAACGTTTCAAAGTAGGCCCTGTAGTTTTTGACAGTTAATTTAAAATAGCTGGGTTGTGTCCAAGACCTACTTGATTTAATAAATTTTTTGCTTACAGCTATCTGTATCACTGACATCGATTAAAACCTGGGCTGGAATCACGACAAGTAGAATTCCACTAGAATTCTACTTTCATGACGTCAGGTTGCCTAGAAAAAGTGATCATCGCCTGTAGTAGGTATACGCGATAAATAGGTCGCGGGTGACGTCATGAAAATAGAATTCTACTTGTCATGATCCCAGTCCAGGATTGCTTCAAGGTCCACTTAGTTTTTGATAAATAGTAATCTTATCGCTTGTCATAAATGTTATTTGACATTTCGCTCAACAGTGTTGCCGATGCTTATATAATTACTGTTATGGAAAATTTGAAAATTGCAAGGCCTACTTGGGCTTTTTTTTGTATAAATTCGAGCCTCAATGATTGACACGATATTTTTTATAAGTTGTAGTTGGCACCACTGTTTGACAAGGGACAAAGTAGGCATTGCAAAATTTTGAAATTTAAATATGGCGCCCTGTAATACCGAGATTGCAATACATTCATGTTTCCCAAGCCTACTTGGTTTGATATAAGCCCGTAAGGCGAGAATTCTCCTGAAAAATCAACTTTCAAGATTTCTGGTGATTTTTTTTTTAATTAGGTGATTTTTCATTCCAATTTCTGGTGAATTTAATTTTTTTGACCTGGCAACAGTGATCATAATCGCACAAGTGATGTGAAAAAAGTGTAGGTATTATTTTACTCTTAATTTAAAAAAAAAAAACCGTTTATAGATATAATACCAGAGAAAATCATAATTTACTTTCATTTCTAATAGTACTCAAAATTACAACAAATTTAAAATTTCCAGGAAATGGGAAACGTGTGTCTGAAATTGTTAAAACAATTTATACAAAATGTACAGATTTCATGGATAAAAAATTCCTTCAAGTGATCTTCGTCTCCCTCTCTGACCATTTTTCAGTTGTCAGTTAAAAGCTTCGTACCCTACCGCGAACCTTAATCTTTGATAATAAAGTGGTCGAATTACGTAGAAAAACGAATTTCTTCTTACTTTAAAAATTGAGCCACTTGAGTAGGTAATAAGACATTAATGGTAGCTATGTTTAATTATCGCCTGCAAGCTAAGTAGCTCCATGGGAATTGTGATTAAAGCAAGGGTCATTAGCTCAAATAATTACTTCTGGGTAGATATTAAATGACACTGGAGTAAGAAGTCTTTATTTGTTTTTTTTTTATAATTTATCTTAGATCAGCTAAAATAATTAGAGTAGGTTGGTACCTTAAAGCAGTTCTAAAGTTCTATTGGTTCTATATAATACTTACAGCAAGTAGGGAGTTTGAAGATGTTTCTTACCTGAAACAAAAAAAAAATAGTTATTAAACAATATGTCTTGCCACAGTAACAGAAAAAAAAAGACAATTTTGATAGCAAGCTTCAACAAATTATAATTCAGCTCAGTATAAAACTATTTGCAGTTGCTGAGTTATTTAAGCCCCACTGACTTATGAACAGAAAATTCTTTCTGGCAGTTCTTTTTTGCAATAAAGAAAAAGCAATTTTCTTAAAAAATTATTCCTCATAAAGGTAATATAAATATTGCTTCACAACCTCACGACAAAACATTCCCCAAGTCCAAAAAATTGTGCGTATTTTCTCGTTGCTGAAAAGCTTGCGATACTCGAAATCAAATGAGGCGTTGCATAAAAAAATAAAAAAACGTTTGACCTCCTTTTGCTCGCTTAGAAACCCTAATGAGAATTTTTTTGAAAATAATTCATCAGCTTTAAACTCTATTTGCTGTCACAATAGTGTGGTTACTGTAACTATCTGTACAATGCTGCCATGATTGTATAAAATTTGGATTATTTCGTAAATTGAACATTAAATTAATTATCAGCAAATATTTCGGAGGGTAACAGAAATTGATTTCGGTATCAAAATAGAAGAGACAATTTTGTCGGCATTTTGTCCCTAGAAATATAGTAAACTTTGTGTAGTAATTTAGTTTCCAACCGGGCCAAAATTTGGTGGTTTTCGATTGGAATTTAATTTAAAATATTTGATCAACTCTCAGGATTCTAAGATTGATTTAACAATAACGTATGATAGAATTGTTATAAAAGAGAAGAGTGTTGAATATTTTGCAAAAAAAAACTATTCTCCAAATGAAAAACTATTTATCACAAAAAGATAGGAAAAGTGGTCCCGGTCAAATCGTCTGAAATTTTGTTATGATATACTTCTCATTATCCTGATTAAAAGCTGTCATGGACGCAAAAAAATCTATCGAGGAGTTTCCGAGTTATAGGTCCTCAAAGACGTCATTTTGGATATAAAAGATGTCAAAGTTCAAAATTGTATATTGAATATTATCTTGTTTACCTACATAATTTGGTCTAATATACTATAAAAAATAAAGTAAATAAACTTTAAAAGATCAGAAATGCCCAAATAGTGTGAGTAAATATGTGAAAAAAATTAAAATGATAAAATAAAGGTGCTGTTTGTTTGTCATTAGTCCGGATGTTCATCTGTTGTTTCTCTATACCTTTACAATTGAAAAATCTGACGCATTTATTTCAAGTTATAGCGTGTTGTGTTGTTTTTTTTTTTTTTTTAATTTGGTCAAATATTATTGAAAGAGCAGTGAACGCCAAAAAAAAGATTTATTTAGGTAAGTAGGTATCTAGTGTATCTACCTAATTGAGTAAAAAGCTCAGTTCCTCCCATAAACAGGGATTACTGTCAAAGCAAGCAATGTATTATAAAATAAATGTATAAATATACAAAAATAAATTCTATATTTCTGTTTTTAATAGCAAAAGATACTATATACACAGTATACTTTTTCGATACCAATACCAACACCTCAAGATTTAAATCATTAAAAAATATACATTGTCCGCTAAAAATTAGAAATAAACATATTAATGAGAATAACGAACAAAAAGCGAGATGGATTTCAGTTTTAATTGATAAAACGAAGGGTATTTGGGGCTCTGTTTTTGGCATCTGATATACACGATGTAGTAACTCGATTGCCGGATAATGAATATTTGGTTTGTGTCGCGCGTAACCCAAATACCAAATAACTGCTGCTATGTGTGCACACGTGCCCAGCGTTCTGGATCCTGACTTGCAGGTACAGTAATGACTGTTAGAGTTAAGGATTTATTTCATTTATTCAATGTATTAGTATCATATTAATAGATATGGCAACACGGCTGAACCCCTGAAAACTTGGCGCGACCGCGCTTGTCATATGTCACGCGGCGTAGGAATATTGGAGCTGAAGGGCGGAGCTTGGAGCCGTTGCCGAGGGCCGTTACTAGTAAACAGTCAGCCATTCAGCCTCGTAAAATTGTACTGTTCTGCAAGCATTTTATTTTCTCGTAATTAAAAACGTAAAATTGAACAAGTGGGTTCTTATTTCTGCAAAATATTACCTGTCGAAGGAACCCAGCAACATGGTCCTTCGAGCCGGATATAATTAGTGCAAGTGCTTGTAGAAAATCGAAGGAAACAAATACGGTTGCCTCCGAACCGCTCGTCATATGCTCGTCATCACGAAACACAACAGGTCAGGTCGTTCCTTTTAATTTTTATCACTATTTTAACCGTGAAACAAATAACCTTATGCACCGCGTGGAGTTAAAAATTGTTTAACTTAAATATCACGAAATAAACAACAAAAATAATCTCGATTCTCGTTTCAATTAGGGACTTATGTCCATAAAATCAGG